TTCGAGCTGATGTGTGACAATGTAACTGTCACACGTCGGCTCAATAGATTGGGAAGTGAGCGAACACATACTGTCGCTCGCTCACTTCTCGGTCATCTCCCTGCAGAGAGCGGTGACTGTCAGTCACCGCTCCCTGCAGGGATCCCCCCCCTCCCCGATCCTCCAGCGCTGACTGGCGGAACGGACGGGGGAGAAGGCGGGCACAGCTGGCTCTGCCTCTAGATAGGCAGAGCCCGCTCTCACTCACGCAGCTGGGTGGATCTCGACAGCATTGTTGGGATCCGTCCCGGCTGCAGCGGTCTTAGTATATTGCGAGCTACACTGAGCTTTGGGTCATGGGAGGACGCTAGTATATGTCCTCCCGTGACCCTTAAGAGAACAATGGGGAAAAACACTTGCCTCATAGTTCTCTTTTAAGTACAGCGACACTTTGCCTATAAAACCCCCCAGCCTTCCCTTCCTATTCCCCACTAAGATAATCCAACCTTAAATACCCACCCTGGTACACCCAATGTACTTGGTCAAGAAAAATCTTTGTGCAGTCTCGAAGACATGAAAAAAAACTTACAGTACTTTAAGTAGCTACAGTCCATGTGCTTTGTGCTTTGATTTTGCTTTATTTATTCATTGCAAGAAGAGGTCCTATTTTTTTAGGTTAGCATGCATCCTACTGATTCAAGTAAAGTGGCCATTTAAATTGCAAGTCCTCGTTAAAAAGCTGCATGAAATGAGTATACTAAGATTAATATAAAATATTGTCATAAAAGGTAAAAAATAAGCAACCATGAAATGTGTAATGAGGAAACTAGTTGAACAGCCCAAACCCAAAAATACTATTGTAACCCCAAATGATTAGACGTTATTTGTTGTTTTAACGATCACATCTGAAAATGTGAGAAGTACCGGTGCTTGAATATTTGTGCTCCCCATGTAAGCAAAGACCCTTTTCTATTCTTTAACCTAATCTCTTGCGATAGGACTGTATGTAAACAGCTGTACATGTTTTGTTTGACAAATGACTGCGGCATAATTGGTTTAAATAGATACTGCGGACAACAATGATTACCAGATAAGATTAAAATGAAAAGGACCAGAACAAAATAGAAGTGTACTAGTGGAAAGATGGTTTGATTTAATCTGAGGCAGCAAATTACAGAGCTGGGCAAATTGTTTATTTTCTGACTGAAATGCAGAGAGGTTTCTCTGTGTGCTGTTGTCGCATTCCTTCCAGGACTATTATAAAAATGCAACTTCCAGAGCGGCTTAAAAAAAAAATAAAAAAAAATCCGTGTAGCTAGGGCAACAAAGACACTAAAGAGGGGCTTTGGCATTGGAGGGAGGCTATTCAGGACTATAAAAAGGACCACTATTAGGGAAAATAGTGTATTATGATAACTGTAGGCAGTGTATACGTGGAAGAATAGCATTCAGCACAAGAATTCCATTTCTATTTAATGAACCTTTTATTTATATTTTTCTCCACATTTACATGGGACAAAAGAAAACACTGCCGGGGAGCTGGAAAAGCCGCAGCAACAGTTCTTCTTTTTGAAGATTTCAAGCTCATCTAAACCCGAGAACAGAAAAGGAATGTATTGCAGCTTACCAATTCTTTCATGTGATGGTTGCATTAGTTTTCTTTTCTTAGGCTTCTTTTACATCATGCCAGATTCACGCTTCCTGTCCCAGGGTGACCATGTTCACTTAAAGGGGTTCTAAACCCTCCAGTTTCTTTGCCTATATCTACTGCTAGCAAGCAGTAGATATAGGCAAAAAGTTAAAAATAAAATGTTTTAACAGCGGTTTAAACTTAACTCGTTATCGCTGTGCGCTCCAGTGCCGAGAATCAGGAACTGCTTGTGCGGCCGCAAAGGATCTTGGGGCGGGCGCATGCGCAGTTCGGATTCTCGGCCGGGAGACGAGCAGAGACGCAATGTAAGTCTTTGGCTGCGTGCGCCAGCATGCAGATATCGCTGGATCGGAGGGACAGAGCAGTCAGCGCTGGATCGGAGAGCCGCCACACCGCTGGAGGGACAGATGACAACATCAGAAAAGAAGAAGATCGGAATAAGAGACAAAAATACCTGAACAGAGCCAGCAGCTAATTGGCTGCTGCATCTGTTTGATCAAAGATTTTACAATCAGCTGATGGAGGGATGCCGGCCAAAATGTGCATAGTGTATGGCCAGTGTTACTGTATTATTTATATAGAGCCGACAATTTACATACTGCAAATTCACATCAGCCCCTGCACCCAAGGAGCTTACAACCTAAATTTCTCTATACATGAACGGAGCTTTACAGTGCTCTTTCCTGCCCTTCTCCCCCTCCACTGCAGCGATGGTATGTCTCTCAGCGTCCTTACGTCCTATACACAGTGAGGGGAATTTATCAAAACCAGAGCAAACAGAAATTGGAGCAGTTGCCCATTACAACAATCAGCATCTCTCTTCAGTTTGCTCAGGTAGGATTTGAAAATGAGACATAGAAGCTGATTGGCTGCAGTACAAATCTGCTCCAGATTTCATAAATTTCCCTGCAATGTATAGAACAGAAGGACCCACAGGACCATAAACTGCTGCAGAGAAGGGGGAATGAGGCTCCAGTGACCAGTCTAAGAGCAAGCTGTCTCAGGGGATTGGGTGAGTATAACTTTTTTATTTCTGACCCTAGGTAAGAACAAGCACTTATCCCTTGCATTGCGGGAGTAGCTCCACTTCAAAAAGGTGAAAAAAATTGATAGAGAGTTCTGCTTTAACTCTTGCAGTGCAGAGGCAACCCCCACCCTACTGCAAGGCGAGTTTTTTTTTTTCCCCCCTCTGGAATTTAGCGTTAAGGCAAATACTGCCATAATAACCTAAAATATGTGCCCACTGAAAAGACTCAATACTTCCCATTTAAACAAAGGTGTCTGTATGACATATTCCAAAAGCAGAGATGACTAAAACTCACAACGCAATTAATCTGATATAGCTAGTGTAGGAATTACCATAGCAGACCGCTACGTACTGCTGGCACAGCCTGAACCTCCTGGCTGGGAGATGAGGAGACATGTCCCAGCTGACTGAAGGAGTCTGGAGGATGGAGGTGGGAATCAGTCCTAGGAATCAGATGATGGCAGCTACCAATGGAATCACTGCTGACACATTTAATGAGCCCCTCAGCAGGCAGTTATTAAAGTGTTCAACACCAATTTCCATGATTGGAAACAACTGAAACAATTCATCCCCACACAGCTACCTTCTCATGTATAACTTGCTCCTCCCTTTTAGACCGTAAGCCCTCACGGGCAGGGCATTCCTTACCATCTTGTCTTGTATTGTGATTGTAATGTCTTCCTTATATTGTAAAGCGCTGCGCAAAATGTTGGTGCTATATAAATCCTGTATAATAATGATGATGTGCTGCTAGATATCTATACACAACATATCGAGGTAAACCGTGGCATCTTGAACTATCTCAGCACTGCGTCATTATACAAACCAAATGAATAGGAATCACCAGCACTGAGTAAAAGATTTGAAATGATAAAGTCCATCTAAATCAGACAGATCGTCATACATCATAATTCAGGGGTTACATTGTTGTCCTGATGAAGGGTCCCTACGTGGCCCCGAAACGTCGGTTATAAATATTGCAACGTGTATGACGATCTGTCTGATTAGATGGACTTTATCATTTCAAATCTTTTACTGAGTGCTGGCGATTCCTATTCATTTGCTGTTTGATGTGCACGGCACCATCCGTGAGTATCACAGCAAGTTCCATTATTGTGATTTTGGCCGGAGACGCTGCAAGGAGTGCAGGGGGACATATTGGACTTTATTATACAAACCAACACATGTGAATCATCCAAGCTGCTTACCTGAGTTGAAGTAATGCTGGCATGAGAAGTAGTTGATGAGGAGGGTAATGGGGATGAGGCTCCTCCTGGTTGGAGATGATTGGCAGCATACATGTGTGACATGTGTGAGCTGGACACTGGGGTGCTGGATCCAGACAGGGCACTGGGGAAGGATGTTGCTACATCACTGCTGTTGTAAATGCCTGTGTGGAATGTACGAAATTAACATTACATCAACGAATAGGAGACATGCAAATATACACAAGTGAAATGATAATTTATAGTCTAGGTGGCTATTTGGTGAGGAATTATGCGCAAATTGTACGCAAACCACTAAATACACAACTGAACCTGCCAAATGATTTGTCCTTCTGTCCACCCAGTCTTAAGATTTACACAGTCCTGCCGCACAGCACAGCCAGAATGCTGAAATGACTTATCTCCGCTACAGGCTGGCCATCACATCATAATTGGACAGTGGAGGAGCAAGACTGATGAACATCTCTCTGTTCTCTCCTCCTGTCTCTATAGTCTTGGCAGTACATGTGATTACAAGGCCACCTGATTGGCCTCAAGGACTGCCTCTCCTCTCCTGCTGTACAGGGGATTACCAGAGGCGGAAATCAAATTAAGATATTTATCTTTTCATTTAAACTACACTGAAATATTTATTTTAATAAATACAAAAAACTGCATTCACTGGCCCATACACACTATCGCATTGCGTTAATGCATTACTTGTATTGGTGTGATGCAGTACCATTCATTCTGAATGACATCCCAATGCACTTTGCCAATATGCACTGCAGCACATTGTGAACTGTGGTGTGGTGCACAGCCAGAAATGGTCCACGCACGGACAGATGGCATCACATTCTCATCAAGCACACTTTGATATGATGCAGAATGTATAGTTTATTTGATGACTGTAAGCTGCCCAGGTCCTGGAGCATCACACCAACTCGAAACCATAACATTTCCAGCACCATGCTTCACAGTTGTCCTTTGCCTAACATACGGTCCTCAGTTTTCACCAAACATGTCTATTGTTAGAACTCTATCTTTCACTGATCAGTCTTACGCACATTGCTCCAGAGGGGGACATATTGGACTTTATTATACAAACCAACACATGTGAATCATCCAAGCTGCTTACCTGAGTTGAAGTAATGCTGGCATGAGAAGTAGTTGATGAGGAGGGTAATGGGGATGAGGCTCCTCCTGGTTGGAGATGATTGGCAGCATACATGTGTGACATGTGTGAGCTGGACACTGGGGTGCTGGATCCAGACAGGGCACTGGGGAAGGATGTTGCTACATCACTGCTGTTGTAAATGCCTGTGTGGAATGTACGAAATTAACATTACATCAACGAATAGGAGACATGCAAATATACACAAGTGAAATGATAATTTATAGTCTAGGTGGCTATTTGGTGAGGAATTATGCGCAAATTGTACGCAAACCACTAAATACACAACTGAACCTGCCAAATGATTTGTCCTTCTGTCCACCCAGTCTTAAGATTTACACAGTCCTGCCGCACAGCACAGCCAGAATGCTGAAATGACTTATCTCCGCTACAGGCTGGCCATCACATCATAATTGGACAGTGGAGGAGCAAGACTGATGAACATCTCTCTGTTCTCTCCTCCTGTCTCTATAGTCTTGGCAGTACATGTGATTACAAGGCCACCTGATTGGCCTCAAGGACTGCCTCTCCTCTCCTGCTGTACAGGGGATTACCAGAGGCGGAAATCAAATTAAGATATTTATCTTTTCATTTAAACTACACTGAAATATTTATTTTAATAAATACAAAAAACTGCATTCACTGGCCCATACACACTATCGCATTGCGTTAATGCATTACTTGTATTGGTGTGATGCAGTACCATTCATTCTGAATGACATCCCAATGCACTTTGCCAATATGCACTGCAGCACATTGTGAACTGTGGTGTGGTGCACAGCCAGAAATGGTCCACGCACGGACAGATGGCATCACATTCTCATCAAGCACACTTTGATATGATGCAGAATGTATAGTTTATTTGATGACTGTAAGCTGCCCAGGTCCTGGAGCATCACACCAACTCGAAACCATAACATTTCCAGCACCATGCTTCACAGTTGTCCTTTGCCTAACATACGGTCCTCAGTTTTCACCAAACATGTCTATTGTTAGAACTCTATCTTTCACTGATCAGTCTTACGCACATTGCTCCAGAAGGCCTGGTCTTTGCCAACATATTCAATTGTAGCCTTGCTCTGGACAACAAAGGCCTTTTCTAAATAAATCACTTAGGAGGGTTAAATTGGTGCAATTGCTTTCTGATTATAGATGAATGCACTTTGATACCAACTGTTAAGAGTTACCTGAACACCCCAGAATCACATTGCTAGCATGAAACAGTCAGCTCTTGGGCTGAATTTGCTGGTTCAGCCAGTTCGCAGTCATTTTAAGCCACTTACAGATTATTTTCCTTACAGTGAAATTATTGATTTCAAATCATTTGATGATCTTTTAAATCCACTGCCAGACTTCTAGGCATCCACAACTTTCTGAGGGCCTTAGAGAGCTTTATTGATCTTGGCATGAGGACACCACACACATCAATAGCAAAGAGAACACCAGACCCTAGACCCAGGCCTGTTCTCCCCCCCAAATAGACCAAGTACTGGAACCAGCTGCTGCTTCTGGTGTAAAGTGGTTGCCACTTTGAGCCAAGTTAAACAGTGCTAAAAATATTCAAGAGTGTTGTACTTTCTAGGGCAGCAGTTCTAGCCAACATATTTTAAAGAGACACTAAACTCAGGAATTAAACCTTAAAAATGCATTCAAGTTCCTTAATTATTAACAAAAATGTATCTTATTTGTGTATCACTCTGCTGTAGATCCTCAAATAATCTCTGAAAAAAAAGAATTTATATATTTATATACCGTATATACTCGAGTATAAGCCGTCCCGAATATAAGCCGAGGTACCTAATTTGACCAAAAAAAACTGGGAAAAAGTATTGACCTGAATATAAGCCGAGGGTGGGAAATGAGGCAGCTACTGGTAGATAGATACCAATAAAATTACATTAATATTTATTTAAAAGAAAAATAACCTAGCTCTGAGGTTAGGGACTTCAATTTTTAAGGTTCAACTCCTGAGTTTAGTGTCACTTTAAGGTTACCCCTAAATTACCAGATTCTTGCCCAGTCATCCCATTGGGCTGTGAGACTGAAGCATGATCAGGCCATTAACGGCCTGCCTGACAGTGCTGGGGGACTGGATAAATTTCAAATCCTCAGGCAGTAATATGCATCGTGCTTTCTGCTACACTAGCTCACCATCAAAGAGTCCCTGGAAACATTTTTGTTAAAATAAAAAAAGGAGCAAATGAAACATTACCAAAAATATTCAAGCCACAGGAGTGAAGTTAAGCATGAGTGACACATTTATTTTAATCACACTTAAGGCTGATCCCATCTGGGAAATACATCAGGTCCTCTAATTTGTCTGCCATGTGCTCAGGCAGGACACTGAAATCAAAAGAGAAGATCACTCAAAAGGGAGAGAGTGATGGAACGGGTTTTCAGCACTTGAATAAACCCTGTCGGGATGCACAAAACAGATCAATCACGGAACATGGAGAAAGGTAGGAGCCTTTCATTGGGCCTATGTGAAGCTTGGCACCCATCCGTCTTCTTGGAGCAACACAAAGCAGTGTGTGATGGAAGATGGCGAGGTCGAATGTGTTCTCCTTTCTCCTTCGATGCCTATAGCACCAAGAGGGTGAAGAGCAGGTCAAAGGGTCTGGGTGTGCCCACCACCGATTCACTCAGGGTTTCACTCTGCTGCAGTTTCACCCTCGTTACTAAAAATCATGCAGCCTATTATTTCCCAGAAACCAATGACATCACATCAAAGGAATTAAAGAGCACACAAAAGTTTTACTTAATTATCACTACCTTGGACGTGGTTCATGTACATTTAAAGCATTCGTTTTCCCCTATCTACTGCTTACGGTCTGTTTATACCCCCAGCCTTGGGCTAAACTACTCAACACTATCAAAATGCAAAGTCAAGAAAAATACCATTAAGTTCTGTGGGGTTAGTTCACACCAATGCCTGCTGTAGGTGTGCACTGAGAGAGAGACAATAGGACAGGTTGCATTTGATCTGTGTACTGCAGTGAGCATTGGAATTCCAAACAGGCAAGGAAAGCAATGCAGTGCATATTGCAACACATTGTTAAATTGCATGCCAGCGCAATATCGCTATCGCGTGTGGTGTAAGAGTCCATACCAGTTCCCCCAAAGCAATGCCTTACTTTTTTTTTTTTAAGGCCCTGTTCACACCAGGGCGGTTCAGTCGCGCGGATTTGTCCACGCTGAACCGCCAACAGTAACAATCTCATACATTCCTATGGGGACCATTTATGCGATCGTGTGTCTCCGCACAATCCGAACCGCCTGCTGCCCGAAATGCTCCCTGAGCTATTTTTTTCACGCTGAGCGTGGATTCCATATAGATTTCAATAGAAACGCGCTAATAAGCGCGTTTATGGGCGTTTTTAATTGCGTTTCAGCACTGAAACGCGATTAAAAACGCCCAAACCCGCTTTTTTAAAATTCATTGAAACCCATCTGCCCTGGTGTGAATGGGGCCTAATGGGAGGTAAGCTGTTTGCTCTATTAGTAACCTGGAGTAGAAGTTCACAATATTGTATCAACTGTGTGCTATGCTTTGAGAAATATGAATATAAGGCCTCGTTCAAACCTGACCGTTTTGTAGGGCGTTCTACGCTCGACGAACGCTCTACAAAACGGTCAAAAATATAAATTGCATTGTAGTCAATGCCCTCGTTCCCACCTTGCCGTATTTCCGCCCGTCCCTAACGCCCTACAAAACGGCCCACGCCTGAAAAGGTCCCGGGACTACTTTGGGCCATATTACCATACGCCTAGGTGTGAATGGGGCCTAAGGCTCCATTCACACCTAGGTGACAGCATTTTTGGATGTAGAAACGCAGGTGCGTCCATTATGCTCCATTTTTTTGCAAGCAGATTGTAGCACATTGATGTAAATGGGCAAACGTGCGTAAAATGCATGCAAAAATGAACAAAAATAATTGCATCACGTGTTTCCAATTGAGTCTATGGGGACAAAATACTCTGTAATCAGCCAAAAAAAAGGCTCATGTACTTTTTCCCCAGTGACAGGCATTTTGCGACAAAACGCTCAGGTGTAAACAGGGGCCATAGGAATGAATGGGATTTTGTTTTTGTGAAGCATTTTGTCTCGCTTATTCAGCTGCGACGGTACGCTCAGTGTGAACAGGGGCCATAGGAATGAATGGGATTTTCTTTTTTTTGGTGAAGCATTTTGTCGCGCTTATTCAGTTGCGACGGTACGCTCAGTGTGAACCAGGCTTTAGGGATATTGCACAAAAAGCTTGATATGCCACAATAATCTACTTCATTTGTATTATATGCTTGTGAACTAGAAGCTTTGTGTGCGATATCCCTCATATCATCAGTTGCTATTTATAAAACTGAAGGCAGGGAAAGAGATCTACTAATGCTTTGACAGACACAACTGCAATGTAAATAGATAGTTTTCGGGGGATTTCTGGAGTAGAAGAATGATGGGAATTTATTGAATAAAGAATAGTAAATGAACTGAAAAGAATTTAAAAGAAATAAAACTCTTCTGAGCAATTAACACAGTAAAGAAGGGCCACTGTTGGTGATGTAGCAGCCAATGAGAGGAAGCACAGCGCCCAGGAGGACATGCCATCAAACCCCAACATCGAATAGCAGTGGTATTGAACGCTTCAAAAGAGGAGTATCTAACTTTCTTTAGTTTCATTATTTGGGGATAGTGAAAGGGTTGCTTTAAAGTGGACCTTTACCCATATCTTTGAAACAACAACAAACACACCTTTAGGAATGTTTAGTCATGACAATCTACAAACACATACTTCTAGATAATTGCCGTCTTTGTATTCTTTGCATACCTTATTTTTGTTTTACTCCCTAGTCTTCTCATAGTGGCCATTTTTACTTTGGGCAGGTTACTAGCTCTCCTTTTTCTTCCTGGAACTAGGACTGTGACTAGGGCATGTGACCATGCAACTCATCTTAGGGGAGGAAAATGCCTTTCTCTAAGATCTCATGGCATTACAGATGAGATTTCTCAGCAATGCACTGCTGATGTAACCTTCCTAGGATGCAACACTTGGGTACATTATATCACTAACGCCCAAGAGGACCAGGACGTGGAAAAACAGTAATTGTAAGTAAAAGAAAAATATGTTTGTTTAACTAATGATTAATATTT